CAAGAGCCGTTTTACTCGGTATTTGCTGTACTTTCGTGATGGCGGACCATCTTATATGATGATGGTGAGGAGCAAACACCACCATTACACACGAAAATGCCCAGAGTGAACCCCAAACCTACAAATTTAAACCTCGCGAGCGCGCTAGCCTAGTAGTAGTAGTAGTAGTAGTAGTAGTAGTAGTAGTAGTACCATTATCACTATGCTCCTGAAGATTATTACGGCTACGACCTTCATTGGGCTTTTCTAGAAGCCTCGATAAGTACTAGTGTTATTCCTTCGCACAGGCTGCCTGCGCAGCAGGCCCAGACGGCATCACACCCGAGCTACTCAAGCTCGATGTCCCCATCACCGCAAAACAGCTTCTACCAGTGCTGTTGAAGTCCTGCTTGAAAGTTCAAGAGCCAATCGCATTCAGAGGTGGTGAATAGTTTTGCCTTGCGAGAAGGCCGGCCAGGCTGCAAACTGCGATGCATATCGTTCTATTTTAGTTTCTTCGGTTCCTGGCAAGCTTTGCCACCGCTGCCTTCGTGAGTCCCTCAAGCCTTTACTCCTCGACAGCCAACCGGCATCAACCGGCATTCCAAGCAGGTGTTGCTCCTGGTCAAGGGATTGAGGGCGTTGCACTTGCGGTCAGGTCCTTTTACTCGCTTCGTCAAAGCCGGAGTACGTTTGCATCGCTCGCCGCTCGCTTTTTTTTGACCTTTAAGCAGCTTCTATCAAGTACTCAGGCAGACCTTAGTGCCATCCGCAAAGAACGACGTTGAGCTCCTGAGGCTTCTTCACTGCCTCAATCTTCCCGTTGCAGCTTTACTTGAGCTCCGTGATCAGCTGATTTAGAGTGCCCAGTTGCCCGCCCTCGGGGCATCATCGCATGCAGTCGCAGTCATACAGAATCTGTTTAGGGGAACTTGGTTTCGCGTGACGGAATTCCACTCGCTCGCCATTACCAGGCGAGGATCCACTGTGGACCTACTCTTCGGGTTCACCCTATCAGGGCTCGCACATTCGGTCCAGCAGTATTTTGCCACATGCGGTTTGCTTCCTGTCATCCTTCCACAAATCGTCCAGCGAGCATTAGTACTGACGGCCCTGTGCCACTAAGGTTTCGTTTTTGGTGGGCAGACGATTTCGTCACCCTTAAACAGGCACTACCACACTCTCTTGACTCGGACCAGCAAGGTGCTCACTACCGTCGTTGATTTTGCCAGGTCAGCTGGCATGACGGTCAAAATTGGGCGCGACAAAACACCGCCCGCTGCTATACACCAGCAACGGGACTCCTTCCACGTTGGGGACGACAACCAGCTGCAGCTTTGCTTTCACAATGGAATTACCCCAGAGCTCATGCCGTGCCCAGAGTCGAATCCTATCGACACCTGGGAGGTATTATTACTTCCACCAGCACACCAGTGCCGGACTTGCACTTCTGCTTCGCACAAGCTTCAGGCACTCGCAGGCCGCTCCGCGGAAATTGTGCGGAGCCCGGGAGTTTCCTATCCGTACCAGGGCTTATCTCCTCCGATCCCTCGTTGTGTCGAAGTTTGCTCAGCAGCTTTGCTAATGCAGGCCGTCTGTCAGACCCGTATTTGGGAACAGCACTACATGTCCTTGGGGCGGACCCTCTGCCACAGGCGATCAGCCAGCAAGCACGTCCATAGCCTCCGGATGCTGCAAGACCCCCACGCCGTCTCACCCCCCTTCTCGCCAAGGCCATGGCTGGATTTCTTCAGCGAGTCCATGCTCACGGACCCCATGACCTGCTCGCCCTGCTTTGGGACCATTGGACTTTGCATCCCGCCACCGGCTGGTTTAAGCAAGTCAACGGTGACATCGAGCATGTGTCCCAAAACTTGCCCTCTGTCCGAAACGTTCTGAAGTCCCAGGACCTCATTCGGTCTCTTTTAAAAGCGTTTGAAACGGATCGCACCTGGCGGCCCCGACAAGGTAAAGCTGCAGAACGCACCTTTTACGAGGACCTTGACAAGTGGACCAAAGAGAGGCGACTTGGTTCCTCTTCTGCCAAGCCTGCGACTGCCTTCGCCGACGCCCAGAGCTTCCCGTGTTGTTTATGCCAGGCATTTTCCCGTTGCGGAAACACGTCCACGCCCATCTTGCCAAAACCCACCGCATTTTCTCCCCTGCACGCCATTATGCGTTGGGGGACACTTGCTCGGCCTGTTTCAGGGTATTCCCTAACGTCCAGCAGGTGCATCAACATCTGAAACATTCGTCGGCGTGTTTGATGCGCTGCTTATACCTGCATGCCCTTCTCTCTCTTGAGCAGTTCCGGGCGCTAGAAAACCCTTGTCGACAGCAGTCTGCGAGTTTAGCCAGGGGCGAGTGAGCACGTTCCAGGGCTTACAGCGAGAGAGCCTTACAAGCCTTCGGGCGTCCCATGCCCGCTGCCACTGAACGGTCTGCTGCCCCGGCTGCCGATGACGACCCTCTCAGACATGCTTGTCCAGAGGCTTCATGCCTTCACGGGCACGTGTTGTCTGTCTGGATCACTGATCATATTGCAATGCGCAGTACGGAGGGGCAGCGAGCCACCGCGCATAGGTTCTGGAGTCAGCCACCACCGTCTCACCTTTTCTGAATTCAGGCATGCAGTTTTGGGACGCACGCGTCCGCCACAACAAGTGGCCAGTGGATCCTAGAAGAAGAGAAGACGACGATTACGTTACGGTTCCTTATTATGAAGCTACTATAAACGATCCCCGAACCCTGTTCTAATTATTGAGGCCCTTATATTGCAGATCCTGAAGGACCAGGCGGAGCGCCTCATGGCTCCCCGGATGCCTTTTCGGGTTGAGCAGGTTTCGCCTCCCCCGGCCTGGAACCCCGGCACCGGGAAAGCTCAGGGCGCCTTGAAGGGAGATCCCGGAACAGGGCACCCGGAAAGGGAGCCGTTTTGGGGTAAAAGGTGGCGGGGTTTGGGGCTGAGGGGTTTGCTGGTTTAGTGTTTAGGGACTTGGCAGTGACAGGAAGAGAGCAGACAAAGAATGCTCAAGCAATGGCGACAACATGCATGACAGTAGAAGCTGCGGCAATTGTTATCATCATGGTCATTGATACTAGTACCTATAGTAACAATAATTAAGTGCAGCAACGATAGCAACAAAGCAAGTGGAATCCCTAAACCAAACCCCAAGCTTAACCCCAAGCCCAAAACCTCGGGTCGTTTCGCTCCGATCGAGGTGAAAAAGCTGGGCTACGCCTTGCTAGATGCCAGGTGCCTTCGGTTTCGGGTTTTTCGTTTGGTCTTTTGGGGTCGGAATGATGAGTAAGTAGTAAAAGTCTCCCGTTATACGCCGCAATATACTTGTTGTAGAACTAGACCCCCCCAACTCCTATGCCTTTTGGGGTAAGGGTTGGAACTTTGGGGGCTGAAGGTTCTTGGGCGAACGGCGCTGGGCTTGAAGGTTGTGGGTTTCAGAAACCTAACCCTGAAACTAATGAACTAATGTGGTTAGGAGACAGGAGAAGCAAGGCAAAAAATTCAGGCCACAGGGAAGCAGGGTTTCGGGCTTACAGCCTAGTTTTTTCAATTATGTTATTCGTAACCCCACCTATAGGGTGTACATAGCCGCAAATACTGCGTCCCCTGGTCTGATCCGCAGAGTATTTGTTGGTGGTGTCTTTAACTTTCAGTCGCGAATTGCTGCCCTCATTCTTGGCCAGACGAGGGGGGAGGTGGGGCCGCGGCCGCTTCGAGCTCTGATCTGAAAAACTCATCTGCTTTGTTTGCCTACGCTAATTTTATTCATTCAACCGTTTCTGCCTCTACTAAAACATTGTGTGAGTTCTGCGTTCGGGTGAACGGTTTCGTTGTTTCAATCGGCAGAGCTCTTTTGTGTATTCAAGCTCTTCTCCAGGACTGCCCGAGGAGACGTCATCAACATGAAGGGCACGGCGACCTTGGCCAAATTTAAACACCCCAGGGTGAACCTTACAGTGAGACAGCCGTCATAGAACCCAGTCCACGTTGTTGGTAAGCAGCCCATCGTGACTGGTTTTTTGGTGCAAAAAGTAGCATGCGTAGCCCTCTACTGAAAACTCGCCCCACGTTAATGTTCGCAGGCAGCCCCGTGAGTTTTTAAAGACAGCCGCAGACTCACATGAATGATTGGCTTGAGGCCCGGATCTTAACCTGAAAGTTGCCCGGAAAGACTGTTATGCAAAACGCACATGACACAGGTACTGTTGATTCTTTTGCCAACGGCTCACGTTAACGATGTTAAGGATTTATTAAGATTTTTCCGGAACAACAGCAACAACAACCACACAGCCACCAGAACCGCTAAACCTTCCAATCATGTCTGACCCCTAACCAACACATGTGGCACTTGGCGGGTAATGGTAATTATGGTGAGAATGATGCCCAGTGATCAGGCATTCAGACTACTCGAAGCATCCAGCGTTTTCGCGAATGTGGTAAGAGCCATTCTGGCCTAGATTGGAGGTCCCGATACAGGCCGGGTGCAGGAATTTAGGGCCGTCCACGGGTTTAAAGGTCCAGGGGTTCGCATTTTCGTGTTTCACAGCCAAGGAGAAGGACGACTACGTCGTGAGCAAGGCAAGGCTTCCTTTAGCGTTGGTTCCGTCAATTTGCTCCGTGCCTGTGGCCCCTGCTCAGATTCCCCAACCCCAGCTCATCCGGAGCTGTCCGATCCCTCCTCCCTTCCTATTGCCCTTGTTTTTTCAACGTTCAACATACCCTGGAATCACGGAATAGGCTGTGTTATCACAAGAAACGCCATATTCGTAGGGCTTAAATCGGGTTTGGGGTTTAGGGATTTGCAGCAAGAGAAGGAACAGGCTTTTCACCACAACAAGAGGCCCAGGAAACTTTATTGGTCGGTTCCTGAGTCGATGGATACATAGTTACATAAGGCCCTACTAAGGCTCTCTGAGAGGTTCGATTCCTCTACGACCTCGTGGGCGGCAAGTATCGTATCAGGACGAAAGTTCTGGAGGCCAGCCGGCGTCGACTCAGCGGATTTGGGGGCTGCTTGGAGGGTGTTGAAGTCTTGGTGGGATTCGACATGGATCCTACGGCCCTTGAGGGCTTTACCTGGTTCACGCACAGCTGGGCTTTAGGGTTTGATGGGGAGGCTCAGTGCTTGACTTCTCGGGTTCGGTTTCCGGGCTCGAAAGCATACGTTTGTAATCTCGGGGCTGACGCTAGACCGGAACAAGGAAACCGCACAAACCCCGTCCCACACCTCCCCCCTTCTTTGGGTGCCTACCTCCCTTGGATAATCTCCTTTTCCCGGCAGGCCCATGCCCCGAGCACGAAAGGCCCCAAGCCTCGGAGGCCCTGAGTTTTGAAAGCTGGGCCCCAAAGGCCTTGACTAAGCAATGCAGTAGCTCTTATTAGCATAAGAGGAAGTCCGAAACCCCAAAACGGCCAAACGAAAAAGCCTTGCTGCCGACGAGAGGTCCAGACCCCGAGGCGCTACAAGATCAACGAGCCTTGGGGCACTGGTGGGTTCCTGTAAGGGTTGCTATAAAGGTTACCGTGTGGATTGAGGGGTTTGGGGTTGGGGATTTTGGTATAGACTTACGGTTTACGCTTTGTAAGCTTGTGAGGGTCTGCGGTTTTTGGGGGTCGATTCATTCATTCCCTTTCTCCAACACTGTTACGAAATCCTCTGCACCGTACACACGCAACACCCGACACTGCACAACCCTGGGCTCATCTGGGCTCCGAACCCTGCCCGAACTGCTCAGCCAAGACCCTGAGCCCTAAGGCCCTAAACCCTGCACTTCAAACCCCAAAGCCCTAAACCCCCAAACCCTAAACCTTAAAGCTGCTAAGGCTCCCACAGCATCCTCTAAGCCCTAAGCAACCCCCAGTCCTGAAGCGCTGAAACCGCAAGCCGACCTCTGAAGCCGCGTCGATCTCCTCAAGGAAAGTCCTCAGCCACCGCCTCTTCCTACGCCACGCCGAGCCCTAAAGCCGCTAAACCCATAAAAACGAATCACCGGAAGAGATCCGAAGAGCAGCTGAGGAGAAGCTGGCCGGGCTGGCGGCGGCCCGAGCATTTGGGGCTTCTTCGGGTTACAAAAGCCCGTAAGTACGGAGTATTGCTCAGATATTGTGAAGGGTCCCTCTGTAGTTCAAGGAAGTTTCTCCTTGATGAAGGTGTTTTGGAGTTTTCCGGCCTCTTGGGTTCTATGGATCCTACAGTGTGAGCTTTGAGGGGCTAGGCTGCTAAGCTCAGCGGTTTGGGACTCCAGGACTACACGCCTTGGGTTTGGAGAGCCAGGCCTTGGAAGAGGATCCTCGTCTCTGCCCAAAACCCAAACCTTAGACCCTTCTCATACTGGGAACCCAAACCCCCTGAAAGCAAAATCCCTGAACCCTGACCCTGAAAGCTAAACTTTCCGAAACCCCGAGGCCCCGGGGAGTTTAGGCTCTCCCTAAACTCTGGACCCCAGCTAAACCTTGAACCTTACACCCCACACCGGAGATGAACAAGAAGGTCCCGACCCAAAGATGCTCCCATCAGAGGTGAACCGCGACGAAGTCTCCTGACATAGCTTTTCAAGCACTGGCGCTGCTTTGGAGTTCGCGCAGGCCAGGAAGTGCAATCCCCGCACACCGCCAGCCAAATTCCCTGAAACTCCAAACCCTGAGCTTGAAACCCTAGATGCCAAACCCTTATCCTTAAACCCTGTAGCTAAACCCTAAACCCTAAAACACTACAGCCCCAAGCCTTCAAACTCCAAGCCCTTATGAAAGCCGGGAGCCCTACACAACCCTAAAAACCCTCTCCCGAGTCTGCTTCTTACATTCAGAAGGCCTGGCCCGCCGTGAACTCCGAGAGTGCGGATTTGCTTCATTGGTCCCCGAAGAGCCCAGTACACCTTGTGGACATCTTACTTCTGGGGTCTATCGGGTCTTTATACGAGTTTTGTTAAGTAAGGAAGATACTTTACATTACTCACAATCAGAAGCCTCATGTAACCGAAGGTCAAAGTCCTAACTGGGGTATTCGGCAAATTCAGCTCGCTGGCCCGAAACCAAGTCTGGCTGGCTCGGCATGCAAGCCGGAACTCCCTGGTGCTTCTAAGGATGGAATTGTGATTTGAGATTTAGGCTGTATGCCTAAACCTCCGCTAAACCTTGCGCAATAACCCCAAAACCCTTCTGGTTTAGGTTTGGCGGTTCAGGGTTCTGAGGTGTAGACGCAGAGTCATTCTCCATGAGGCTCCAGGCAGGGGAGGCTCAGCCCAGCTCACCCACCCTTGGTACCCAATGCAGATTTTCGCAGCTGGGTGGTTTCCCAATCGTGGCCCTAGGCGAGGTCTTCAACCCCTCAAATCCTAAGCCGCGACCTGCCGAAAGCCCTAAAAACCTTAAACCCTGAACACGTAGACCCCTTATCAGCTCAAACATCAATTCCCGAAACTAAATGTCTTCTTGCCAGACGGGAAGATCTTCACAGGGTTTAGGGCCTAGCCGTTGTTAAACACAACCTGGTTTTGGGCAGATCCCTCAGTCCAAAACTCCATACACATAAGTTAGCTCCCGAGGAACTCACAAGAGAGGGAACCCACCCACATGGCTGCTCGTGGCCACCTCCGGTCGTTGCTCAGCAGCCCTCTCCCTTCGTTCCCTTCGTTTCGATTTCCGAGTGTTCCTACAACATCTCTCGGATTCAGAGACGGAGTAATGACTGAGTAATGGCTTATCTCAGGTTTGGTGTTGAGTTTGCTGGTTTGGGGTGCTGTCCTTGCCAAGTCGCGAAGGCCGCTTTCTCGTCGGACTCACCTGCACAGCAGGAGGAGCTCCTAATACGTAGATCGGGCGTCAGAGCGTACCCAAAAGATGCCTTTTGCCGTGGCGGCATCATCCTGCGTCGGGTTAGGGGAGGGGGGGGTTTTCAGGTATGGTTTTTTTCAGCAAATGCCTCTGTGAGTTTAAGTTTACACTGTAGACTGTAGGGCATCAGCGGTGGCTCGCACGGTCTTGTTTCCTTGTCAGGGCAGTTTCTGCCACCTTTGCCCCCGGCTTGGATGAACTGTAACTGAATCCTCCTCAGCATCACCCTTGTGGTCGCCATCATCGTGTTGTAATTGCATCTATTGAGGCACGATACCCCCCAAACCCAATGCCAATCATTAAGGCCCCTACATTATGTCCATACAGTGCGTCTTGCTAGCTTTTGGCTCCAGGCCCCGTGCCTGCCGCCCTCCATCTCTCGAGGTCAGCACAGGGACACACAAAGTAAACATCTCCTTTAAGCCTTAAGCTTCGAGAAACCGTCCTAGTATAGGGGCCTGAATGCTCTATCTACTGTTTCGGGGGTTTCTTATTGTAAATATCTCATGCTAATTATTAAGGCCACTATATTAGACCAAATCCCACCACCCCGAAACCCTAAACCCGGCTCGGGTCTGTGCTGGTGGTCCCTGTTCGCCCGGGACTACTCTCACGGGTCAGAAGTTACTATGCAAGGTTCCTCCACCCAAGCCCTGAAACACTGAGCCTCAAAAGTTGCGAAGCATCCGAACATCAGCCCCAGAGCTCCAGGAAAGCCTTAGCACGATCAGGAATTTACCCTAAACAAGGTTTCAGAACATAGGTCTTAGAGATCAGGGTACAGTGAACCGGGTTCTTAGACGCCCGGAGCGCCCGCGGAAAAACCATGGGTGGCTCTTCGTCTCGGGCGCCGCCTCCACTGGATCTGCCCCAGCAAGAGGCCAGAGCTATGCTAAGACTATTACTTTGTGCTATGTACTGTTACTGCAGCTGCTGCTGCTGCTACTACTACTACTCCTCCTCCTCCTCCTGCTGCTGCTGCTGCTGCTGCTGCTACTGCTGTTGCTACATGATTGTTATGACCGTTCCATCGCGCTTGTATGTTTCGTCATTACCACCTTTGTCATCATAGTTCTCAGCATCCAGCCTCATAACGGCTAGTGTTATTCCTATGAGGATGATGATGTTGACGAAGAGGAAGATGATGATCCTGAAGAAGAAGTTTTGTACAGACTACCTCTGCCTATGGGTGTGGAGTTCTGCTTCATGGCTTCGGGTTCTAGAGGTTGTGTGGGAGCCAGTAGTTCTACAGGGCATGAATTCCATGAATTCCAACTTACGCTGGCTCCGTGTCGGAAACGAAGGTGGCAGGTCGCTTGGTGTTGCGGCGTTGCCAAACACCCCTAAAACTAAAGCCTGTACGCCCTCTTTGAGGTGCAGACCCCAAACTCTAGACCCCTCAGTCGGCTCGCCCCCGAAGCTTTTCTGCCTCTGTTTCATGCTCCTCCGAGGTGGTGGCCATCGCTCACACAGGCAGCCTCCGAAATGACAGGCAATGCTGAAATCGGGTTAGGGGTCGAGGGGTTCATTTAGGATTTAGGTTTTGGGAGTTTTAGGGTCTAAGGGTCTAAAGTTACGGGCTTGCCAAGTGACCACAGCTCCTGTTGTAGTTTTGTTGTCGTGGTGGTAGAGAGAGAGAGAGAGAGAGAGAGTGTGTGTGTTTTTGCTGTTGTTCTTGATGATAATTGCGCCGCAAAATTCGGACTCCATAGGAGCCGCTTCAGTAATCCTTATGGAGAACCTGCCCTGATAGCAACAGCAACGCGTAAAGCCGTAAAGTAAGCCTAAACTCTACGTAAAACCCTTGAAGGAACCCGACCTCCCTTAAAGGAACGCTAAAGCCTAAAGCGCCTAAAGCCTGGTTTCTGCCGTTTCTTCGAAGGCACGGCATGGCAGCGGTCAATGCCGCCGCGCGGGTGGCACAGAAGTGCGAGACTGGCCAGGCGTTTTTGTTTTTTGGATTTGGGGGCTCCAGGGTTTTGGTGTCGTAGGGTTTTAGGGCTTGGAGGTTCGGGTTACTTAAACAAGTAACAAAGCGGTTCCGAAGCTTCAGCCTGCAGCCAAAACTCGAAGCGAGTGTAGGGTTTGGGGTTTAATAAGGTTTGGGAGTTCAGCGTTTGTAAGGCTTGGGGTTCAGGGTTTCGTGGGTGTTTTGTGTATTTTTTTGCCACGAATATTTGGGCCTTGCCCACGACGGCAGCTGAATTCACTACTCGTAGCAGGTGAGAAAAAACGATTCACCTTGGAGTTTCCCTAGTCCAGCAAACTGCGAGCCTTCCGACCTGAGCCCCAAAACACCCAGCCCAAAGCCCAAAGCCCTAAGCTTTAAGCTCGACCTTAAACGACAAGCCCTTAACCCTAAGCCCTAATCCCGGCGAAGGTGAAAGTGCAGATGGCCTGGCAGCCCCATTCTTTTGAGCTACACAAGGCCGCGGTGGCTCTGGGAACGGTCCGAGGAAGTATCATTATTTATCATGAGTATTGTTGCTCTATTCCTTTGTTCATTATGTTTGTTATGCTTATCAAGGTTATAGTAGTTCGCTTCCGAGTTGGGGCTTTAGTTTAAACCTGGGGTTCGGACTTCAGTTTAGCGGTGTAGGGTTTCAGTTTACGTTTGATAAATGGTTTGGGGCCTTCAGTTTAGGGTTGGGGGTCTAAGTTTAGGGTAGAGGGTCTAGGTTTAGCATTGAGGGTCTACGGCTGAATAGCCAAGACTTTCTTTTCAAATGAGGAAATCGCAGTGTCGTATGCCATGTCGAAGCATCTCAGCCCCTGAAGCCTGAACCCCTTGAAGCCTGGGCCTCCGGGATGTGGAGCTCAGGGTTTACGGGTTTGGGGCTTGGAGCTTGGGCTTAGATGTTAGGGGATAGGGGTTAAAGAATCAACTAGTTAAGGGGTCAAGCAAAACTATGTAGGGGATAAAAAACTATTGCAGGGATCAAACAAATATTTCTTTCTTCTTAGCAGAATACAATGCAAAAGACAACGGAACAACACCTGGAACAAGCGTGCTGCCTCCTCTTGATTTTGCTTACACAATAGGAATAGTTTTTAATCCCTAAAATATGTAGTTTTTTGGATCCTTTCACAGCCTGCCTCCTCTCCAGTGTGCTTTTACATTGAGGATTTCTTTTTTTTTATGCCTCACCCGCCGTTAGGGTTTAAACCGGTTTAGGGTTTCCAGCAGGAGCCCCCTTTCCTGAATACGTTTGAGACGCTCTGATCGCCCTCTGCGTGCTTAACCCCTAAACCCTAAACCCTGAAATCTTAGTAGCCCTAAGCCATAAAGCGGTGAACGAACGCCTCACAAGCCCTCAAGCCCGCACTGACCCCCTCCCAACACCTCCTGCACAGGGGGCCGGCAGAACCCTGTGGGAGCTGCACGGAAGCTTTACATCGGAGGCATCCCCCCCGCCCCAGAACCTTCAGGGCTTGTAGGGTGCAGGGAACTGATGGCATATTTTATTTGTTTGTTTTCAAGGCCTGTTTATTGCATGTCTTGTCCACGGTTATTGTTGGCTTGCAAAGGCAAGAGGTTGGGGCTTTGGTTTTCAGGGTTTTAGGATTGCGGCGTTCTAGGCTGGGGTTTGGGTTGGTTTGAGGTGGGGCTTTGGTGTTTTTCTTTCCGGCCAGTTGCCTTGCCTGGGGTTTAAGCTGAGGGGTATTCTTGCTTTTTTGCAATGCCACAGCGACAAGCTATAAGATCCTGA